CTTGTCGAAACGTTGTACATTTGCTGTCATGTTAAACTTATATTAAAGTTTTTCTTCATTCCCCATTTAAGCCATCTCCAGCCATTATTAGTCTCAAAGTGGGTTCTTCGTCATCGAAATATAGGCCTCTAATTTCTAAATTTCTAGCAGTCTGGTTGAATTTTTTAAATTTGTAACGATTCTCTTTAATTATATTTTTCTTTTTAAAAACATTTTAGGTACAACTGCAACTGCTGTTTCTGCTTCATCGGGATTTAGGTCCTTCTTAGGACCTGGAAGGGTCAGGTACAATCTATTATCTGGACCTTTTCCTCTCATGCAATCTAAACCTCAATTGCAAACTACATTTTTACTGCTTTGAAATTTCCGCTTTAGTTTCAACTTGTCAACTACATTCACAATTTTAAGAATTTCAAATGCACACATCTTAATGATTAATCCTTTCCAATACTGTAGTCTAAAGTATAAATCAAACAATGGAAAAAATAACAATACATAAAGTAGCAAGATACAAACTCACCGTGGCTTGCACACTTAACAGACTTCATATTGCTATCGTTTAGCTTTTCTTTTTCTTCAAGTCCAAATTCACAGCTATCAGTATCTGTGAAAAACTCACCTAAACACCTCAACCCATGTGTTACATAAATCCATTCTCGTGTTCCATGTTTCAGTTTCAAAATTACGAACACGAGAAGCGCTATCTGGAAAAACGAAAGTTATAGGCAGAATGTTGATATAAATTCCCTACTTTTAGGAGACAAATCCTAAATTATTATTATTTTTTGGGGAAAATATTTAAACCAATTACACATGAGATGTTTGAATATAACACTATAAAACTTGTGATATGTCAATAAGGAATGGTAAAATAAACCTTATAAGTGTAGTAAATAATTAGTATTACTAATATACAAATATTGTACAAAAACCGTGACAACCACGCATATGCAAGCTCCCCTCCCAGTGGCACAGCGGCAAGTCTACCGAATTATAACACTAAAAACCGGGTTACGATATCCATGGTGGCTACAGCCAGATATCCCATTGTATAGCTTTGCGCTTAACTGCAAACAAAATCGCAAAAAAAATCATAGTTAGATGCTTTATTTCTATCGAAATTTCGTGTAATCGACCTTTACCAGGTTTATCATACAGGTAATTCTGCTGTAGCATAAAGGTCTCCTATTATCATGTAATTTCGGTTATGGGTCACTTTTCTTTGTAATAGGTTTATATCTAGGTTGTTGTTCGGAGATCAATATAGACCAGTAAAAGTAAGATTATTATTATTTTCTAGATTTATTTCTAATTTCGATTCTTCTAAATCAGTAGAGGCATCATGGATACGAAATGTCTGGCACTTGTGTGAGCAGTGGAGAGTATAAGATGGCATGTTGAATGTGATTCCAGACCTGTTTATGTACGTTGTGGTCTCAAGGTCTCTGAACAGGGAATATTTTGGACTCTGTATGATGCAAGGATTGAAGCGCAACATTGTCCAACCAGCAGGTGAAGTAGTTTTCTGGTTACGTTTTATGTTCAAATTACCCGCATACAAATGCCGTAAATATAATCTGTTATATAACTGTAAACATAATAGAATGTAAATTCATGAGAGAGAAGAAAATAAACCGCAGCCACAATATAGATATACAACACCGGGGCAAAAATCATAAGGTGGGTCATCATGTAATGTTACATCCAACACCGGGCATAAATCATAAGGTGGGTCATCATGTAATGTGACATCTAACACCTGGCACAAATCATAAGGTGGGTCATCATGTAATATGCCGTGGTTTTTAGAGGTACTGGCGGGAGTAAGACCCAATTTACATTGGTGTACACCGTCTATCTAGTTAACCTCAACTTTGCCGGCCTCACATGATTAAGAAAAAAGGAAAGAAAAGAGAAGAAAAAAATTGAGCAGATGTGGGTATTCTAGCCCACAAAGTCCCATATCTTTACCACCTTCCGCTGCCTGTAGCCAGATGGTGGAAGATGGTTGCTCACAAAAAATTTCATAAAAAATTAAACATATAAAGAAGCAGCAAGAAATAATACAATAACTTACATCAATTGGGAGACAGCAACGCTGTCCTTGAAATTAGTATTCCAGCTCCAAATACGATGTTTGGACATTAATATCAAGATGTTAAGGTATTACTATACTATGTCCAGCCAAAATGATAAGTATAGCTTCCATCCTCCATCCTTCCCTGCTACTATCTGGATCTTCAATGCTTCTAAAGAGGTCTTATATAGGGAAGGTGATATAACCACCAATACACTAATCTACCTATAGAAGATATTTTTACGACATCGAGGTCACGTGACTAGTATCACGCACGTCATTTTCGAACATTCACGTCTTTTCCTTAAATCTCGTGATCCTTCTAGATATAGTGTAGTCTTGTATATATAAGACCGGCCACGAAGCGACAGGGAAGAAATGAGTAACTGAATGTATGCGGACAGAATATTGTTGCTGCGTCATCGAGGTCACGTGACTGGTGTGGCGCCACCTATTTTCAAGAACTATCCTGTACCTTGGTGAATGCTCTAGTATTTACTAGATATAGGGTAGTCTGGTATATAAAAGAGGGTGACAACGTGACGGAATAATAATGTGTGTGTAGGTAGTGAGTAATTGAACTAGTCAGTCACA